CCAGCAGTGTCACAGCTAAACACCTGCAGTGTCACACCTATACACCTGCAGTGTCACAGTTTAAACACCAGCAGTGTCACAGTTTAAACAACTACAGTGTCACAGTTTAAACACCAGCAGTGTCACAGTTTAAACACCATCAGTGTCACAGCTAAACACCATCAGTGTCACAGCTAAACACCTGCAGTGTCACAGTTTTAACATGGGCAGTGTCACTGCTTAAACACCAAATATGTCACAGCAAAAACACCAGCAGTGTCACAGCTAAACACCTGAAGTGTCACAGCTAAACACCTGAAGTGTCACAGCTAAACACCTGCAGTGCCACAGCTAAACACCTGCAGTGTCACAGCTAAACACCTGCAGTGTCACAGTTTAAACACCAGCAGTGTCTCAGTTTAAACACCATCAGTGTCACAGTTTAACCACCAGTAGTGTCACAGGTTAAATACCTGCAGTGTCACAGTTTAAACACCAAGTGCCACAGCTTAAACACCAGCAGTGTCACAGCTAAACACATGCAGTGTCACAGTTTTAACACCAGCAGTGTCACTGTTTAAACACCAAAAATGTCACAGCAAAATCACCAGCAGTGTCACAGCTAAACACCTGCAGTGTCACAACTAAACACCTGCAGTGTCACAGCTAAACACCTGAAGTGTCACAGCTAAACACCAACAGTGCCACAGCTTAAACACCAGCAGTGTCTCAGTTTAAACACCATCAGTGTCACACTACCAGTAGTGTCACAGTTTAAATACCTGCAGTATCACAGTTTAAACACCAACAGTGCCACAGCTTAAACACCAGCAGTGTCACTGCTAAACACCTGCAGTGTCAGTTTTAACACCAGCAGTGTCACTGTTTAAACACCAAAAATGTCACAGCAAAAACACCTGCAGTGTCACAGCTTAAACACCAGCAGTGTCACTGCTAAACACCAGCAGTGTCACAGTTTAACCACCAGTGGTGTCACAGTTTAAATACCTGCAGTGTCACAGTTTAAACACCTGCAGTGTCACAGCTTAAACACCAGCAGTGCCACAGTTTAAACACCTGCAGTATCACAGTTTAAACACCAGTGGTGTCACAGTTTAAATACCTGCAGTGTCACAGTTTAAACACCTGCAGTATCACAGCTAAACACCTGCAATGTCATGAATACACAATGCCATTTTAGAAAGTGGTCAAATGTAACATGTTATATTTGGGATTACACTTTCTTAGTAAAGTACAAATTCTAGTAATCTTTTGATTTGAGTCACATGCAGGATTCGAACCCACACCCTCAGAGTGAGGCACCTAATCACCAGCACACAAAGTCAGACCCCGGGTTTATCAATAGTAATATGAAACACTGAGTAGTGCTCAACTTCTTTTGAGTAGGATATTTTGAAATATGACCAAGATGAACTCAACATGCACAACTGAAAAAGAACCATTTTTTTTCCAACTTGACAATTATTTACTTGAAATGAATGAAAGGGCATAAAATAGGCAATGGCTGACGTGAGTTGAATGAACAAGTTCCACATTATAATATAGGACATCATCCACACAAACAACTGTCCCAGTGTGTGTTCCACTACCTGAGGGGCGGTGGGGTAGCCTAGTGAATGAAGCGTTCGCTTGCCACTGCAAAGACCCGGGATCGATTCCACTCATGGGCTTAATCATGTTAACGTGTGAAGCATATTTCTGGTGTCCCCCGCCATAATATTGCTAAAAGCAGCGTAAAACTAAATTAACTCACTCACACTCAGGTGTAGGCGGTTGAATAAATTTTAGAAAAGTGTTTGAGTTCACACGGTTTTGTATTCTGTGTGTAGGTCTCAGTCATGCAGTTGTACTGTTGTGTACAGTGATATGACTCAAGATTTCTTAAATTGGAACAGGAGACAGAAAAAAAGATGCCATAAACTGCAGATCGTGAAGATCTGGGTTAGAATTGATCTTCAGTAACCAATGCCTGTCGTAAGAGGCGACTAACAGGATCAACTCTGTTGCTGTTGATCACTGGATTGTCTGGTTCAGACTCAATTATTTACAGACCGCCGTCATAAAGCTGGAATATTGCCGAGTGTGGCGTAAAACAACCAAACCAAACCTTGAACACTATTTCAGTTAGCCTGGTAGTCACCTTAATATTTCATTCTACTCGTAGGATTTGAACAACCAGTAGATCCTGACAACCAGGGGAAGCAACTCAAAACAAGCAGTACCCTAGACTACTTAGTCGACATGGCCAACTACAAGGGTCGAAAAATTCAAAAATCTGCACTTTCCACTCGTCCTTCTAGAATTGTACTTGCCCTAAGATCATGCATCACAATGAATATAAATTTAAAATATTTCGAAAATGTTTCCTTGGAATAAAACTACAATAAACATTACTTACTTTGTCTTCCGTACAAAATCTTTGACAAAATTGAATTCTTTCACCATATAAGATAGCTGAACTTTAACATAAAAATAAAAATGTTACTTTGGGGTGAGAAAACGTACTCGCCCTATAGGACGAGCTAATCATGTTTTTCACCAAAACAAATTTAACTCGTCAATACGAGCGGACAAGTGGAATTTTTGAGCCCTTAACTACCATACATCTGTACGGTGTAGTAGCCTAGTTGTTAAAGTGTTCGCTGGTCACACTGGAGAGGACAAGGTTCACAATGTGTGAAGCCCGATCCTGGGGTCCCCTGCCATGAAAATCAGATAATGCTGGAATATTGCCAAATGCATCATACAACCCAACTCACTCACTCAGTCACTATTGTGGGAGGAAAGCCCCAGAGATGAAGGCCTCAATAGAAGAGGATCATCAATCAACACATCATACCTTAGTTGAGGTGAGGTGAGGTGAGGTGAAATTGGGATTTAACGTCATGCTTGAGAATATTTCGCTCATATGACGACGTGCATGCGTGTGTATGTGTATGTGCGGCTGCTTGTACTAGCCCAGACTTAAGCTGGTTTTATAGTGCTAGCCCACTGAGATACCATGCCGCAGTGAAGCATGAATACCCCACTCAGACACAGTATACGGACTCCGAGCCGACCCGTCCTTGTTGTACCCATTAATGCCGAGCGCCAGGCAGGGACCAACAAGTACCATATTTTAACGTCTTTTGGTATGACGCGGTCGGGGATCGAACCCTCGACCTTCTGCTCTCCGGGCGGACGCTCTTACCACTACACCACGGAGGCGGTCCAAACCTTAGTTGAGACTTCCTTTCATTCCAGTGACTCTAACCATGGTAAAACTATACACAACATATAACAAAGTTTTCTTATTTCATAAAGATGAATATATTTACTCCAATGAGAGAAACATGTACAAGTTAGAGGTGTAACGATACAGTGAGGCATGTATCCAGGTAATGTGGGTATGATACAATACGTATCCTGAAACAGCACTTTATTTCATAAGTTCATATTCCTTTTTGCAGGTGAATGACAACCATGAAACATTGTTTTCAAATTTCAGACAGCAAAGATAGGTCTGTTTGATTGGCATTTTTTGAAGTTGATGAATGATAAGAAAGGTATGATACTTTATGGATAACAACTTCTTTATTGAACATAGAGATTTTTTCTGGGTTACATCTTCTTTTTATTCTCGAGTACAACGTTTCAGGGCTTGTTCTGGCCCCATCATCAGGTAAAACTGAACAGTAACTGTTAACTCTGGCCGGTACGTCACAATGCTTATGACGTCACAATGCTATGACGATGCAATACATGTGGTGGTGAATAGATACAGATGACATGGCTAATAGAATACATGTTATTATGAATATATAAGATGTCGTTTACTGCAAAATTAATGGATCAATTTAGAACTGTGCAGATACTTATACAAAATTGTTGATTGATTTAGAAATGTACAGAGACGTATTTATAAATGTATAGAATGTAAAGTAATAGCAGTGTATACATAGAAATTATGCTTTATACATGGGAACAGTGACGAGGGTAGGGTATTGTCTTATTGTTTTATGTACCATGCATTTGGGAGGTAGACACCCTGATCCCTGTTTATAGCTGGTTTTGTGTGTGTTTTGCGTCGTCATAGCATTGTGACGTCACGGCCAGAGTTAACAGTTACTGTTCAGTTTTACCTGATGATGGGGCCAGAACAAGCCCTGAAACGTTGTACTCGAGAATAAAAAGAAGATGTAACCCAGAAAAAATCTCTATGTTCATCAAATATCATCTTCTAAAATGCCAATCAAGCATCTAACTTCTTTATTATATTATGATGCAATGTTTCTGTATAGATTCTTATATCCATGTCTTGCTTGACAACGGTATAAGAATCTTTAATGAAACATCGCATCATAATATAATAAATAAGTTGTTATCTTTCAAGTATCATACCTTTCTCCGCAAAGATAGGATATTGTAAGGGAGAAACATATAAGCTTAGATGGCACTGAATCATAACATTGCATAAGCTTCACAATTCATGCCAGTCTGCTACCTGAGACTACTAATGATTTGTGGACAAGGTAAATCCAAATATGATGGTAGTCATCATAGACCGGTAACACCTGAGGAAAACAATCATTCTGAAACACTTTCTCAAAGCATTAACTTTTCTGGAAACTGGAGAAGATAAAACTGACAATAAAATTGTAACCAACTCTGTCCTGTTCTAGCAGAGATAGCTAAAAACCGGTGAAATAAAGTTTACATGAGTACAAGACTAAACTTAAAAACGACTCATTTCTCAGGCTGTTACAGCCCTTGAAATTACCTCTACTGTAGACATGAGCATTATCATATTATGGTATTTAGAACACATAAATACACTGACACACACTTCACAGTGAAGGTGGATTCCCATCCTGAATCTGCAGTATGAAATGTTGAGCTAACTTTTGTACAAAATTCAGTACAAAGTCAAAGAATGTTTTTCCCACCTGTGCATATTTCACTGTGGTACGTCAACTGAAAAATATTCATTTCTTTGTGAGTATCATGAAATTTGATTTCCATCAATTTCCAACAACTGTATCCTTGTCCAGCTCTTTGAGTCGACTGTCGGTGTGTTCGGTTCCAACATTTTGATCCACACAATCCATAGGCTCAGTTTTAGGCGATAACAGTGTTTCAGAGGGCTGGGCACTGCCTAATGATGATCCTTCAAGCGTGTTCATCACAGACTGATTCCTTTGCTGAACAGTATGAACCTCAGAGTCAACTGATGATTTCAGGAGTGATTCTGTGTTCCGTTGAACATCCACAGACTGAATCACGCTTAATGACTCATCTACCAGAGTGTCCAATCCAGTGTCTTCGTCCACTTCAGAGGATTGGATCTGAGTGATTGTCCGAACTATCAGAGTACTAATCATTTGCTCATTGGTTGGAGCTAATTCTGATGTCTGGTGCTCACTGTCTGCAACTTTAGTTTTGTCTTTCGCATTCAGTTTCAACCTCCGAAGCATCTTCATGTCCTCTGGATTACACTCTGGCTGGTTCTTCAGCCAGCGAATACACTTCTCAAAATGCACTACTGCATCTGCATCACTTGGGAAGGAAGGTTTCCGCTTTCTTTTTTCGTTGGGCTTGTTTTCACTGTTGAATATTGCTATTTCCTTCTTTACTTTCTCAATGATCTCTACATCTGATAGTAAGGGAAACAAAAGAAAGGAGTCCACTTTCTCAACCCATTCCTCTATATCCTGCAATGTGACTTCTTTAAAGAATTCATGATGGGACAGAATTTCATGGATTCTTTCTGATACTGATGGTTGCTGTTTAAAGTCTGTGTCTGGAATCTCAGTTTTCTTAATGGACAAATTCCTAAAAAATTCAGCCCATAAGTGTGCAATATCGCCTTTCTTTGCATCGCTCCAAGCATCCACTGAGAGCTGAAGGGCTGTTTCCAGATTGAAACCTTCTAAATACTGCTTGAAAAGGGATGCTTTTGTTGATGTTGTACCAGTTGAACCATCAAAGGCTTTCTTTACTTGTGAGAGTCTATATTCCTTTTTGAAAATTTCTGGGATACCTGAGCAGAGGGAAAGTTTTTTGTTGGTGCAGTTAGGTGGCAGAAAGATTGCACGGACTGAACCATCTTCTGTTGTCAGTTCATCTGTGGCAAAGGGGTGAGCTGGAGAACTCTCAAGAATTAGTACTGCATTTTGTGAATAACACGTCTTCTCTGCTTCAACTTTCACTGCTGGAATGAAACCATTCGTGAACCAGTTTTTCAAAATGACTGGATCCAAACTGGCATCATCTGTTGTGACAAGTCGAGATGGAAGGTCAGCATTATCCTGCGGTCCAGCATCATTTCCTGGGTTGGCTATGACTAGGAGTGGGAGTTTGTGGGATCCTGTTCCATTCACACACAATAAAAACGTTAGTCTTTCTTTGGCTGATAACACGTCTGACTTCATCATTTGAGCTATTCTGACTGGTAGTGACTTCCATGACAGTCTTACTTCACAGGCATAATAGATCTGATGCTCAGCTAACTCTTTTTCACGAATATGAGCTTTCAGTTTTTCTTGGAATGAAGAAATGTCCTTTTGCATGACAGCATTAAGGTCAAGTTCAGCATGCAAGTGTTCAATGCCACAGCGTTGTTTGAAACGAAACAGCCACCCTGAAGATGCTTTGAACTTTGTGTTCTCTCCATTTAACCTCTGATCAAAGTAGGTTGCTTTACGTGTAATCACTGGTCCTGTAATGAAGCTTCCCTTTATTCTTTCTTGAATATACCAGATATGCATGCATCTTTCAAGTATTTCGTGAGTGGGTCTTCTCATAACCCGTCTTCGCTTCGTCATGCCTTCATTTGCGAGTGCAGTCGAGCAGAAATCGAACAGCTGCTTTCTATTTCGCATTATTTCGTGAACGGTAGATTTGCCAATGTCATAATGAATAGCGATGTCACTTGCCCTTTCATTGTTTTCCAGTCTCTGAACAATGTCTAACTTTTCTTCGAATGTCAACACCTTCCGTTTCCTCACTGTTGCAGACATAATGAACGAGCACGGTCACCGTGGATCACAGAAACAAATTGAAAAATGTCTTCATTTATGAGCGCAAGATAAACACTTTTGACCACTGGAATACACAGTAAATGAGAAAGTCATGATGCTGTCGATCGCCACAAATTGTAAATCCAGTATCATTCTCATGAGTCCAGATATATTTGGATAAATATGATCAGTAAAATTAATTTGTCACTTGAGCGCCATATTTGAAAGGGCGGATAACTCTAAGTTATTGTTAGACTGGTTCCTGGATCCTCCGCCTTGTGTCGCTGCATTTACCCAGCCTTAGGAAAATATAATCTCCTAGTAGACTGGTTGTGCAACCGTCGGAAGCCGGGGTACCAGTCTGAATAGCGACGTAAGCTTAGCGCTTTTAATCATGTTGCAGACAAAGTCCTGTTTGTCGGGGAATCTGCATATGCCAGGATCTATAAGCTAATATTCAAACTTAACATTTGTCTTCTTTAAGTTTTCGCCGTTTTATTTATCCATGTAAATTAAAGATATCCATTTAAATTAAAGATGTATCTTTTTACGAAAATTCAGATTCTCAGGCCGACTGTGGTGAATGCCTACTGGGAATAACAGCTACAGTGTATGCTGGTTTAACGGGGTGTTTGCAATTCACTTTCTAGTTGCGGACAGGTTTCTTGACTGCACGAGTTCATGACTACTGCTGGGCATCTTGTCCAGATGGAATAGTTTGTCACTTTCTGGTAAAATATAATGAATTCAGCTGGAATACTGCTGAATGCGGCGTTAAAAGACAAATCAACACATTCCTCAGGCCCGGTTCCTGGGTTCCCCATGCACTTAACAGTTTTGTGACATATGTACTTTTACGCTATGACACAAATTAACGTTATTCTGTCAATGCCTACTTACTTCTACTGAAACGTATAACTTGTGTTCTGTTGATATATCATTATATATACAAAATGTGTAATCGATTGCAGAAGTATATCGATCGATACATATGACCTGTCTAAGGTATGAAACTTTACAGGTGGCATTCTCAGGTAACCAGTCCCAAATGTAAATAATTGGGTCTGGACCAGTGATCAACAGCATGTGTTGGATCTAAGCAATTGGGATAAGTACTATGACATATGTCAGCGAACCTCACCAACCGATTCCGTTAGTCTCCTCTTACGACAAGCATGGGTTACTGAAAATCAATTCTAACCGGGATCTTCACGGGTCCTGCTAAAAGAGAAATTGACTAGAATTGATACTTTATTATTCATGTATAATTTTAAATTTCCAAACTATAGTAGCGAAACAATAGAGTATACGTATTTAGGACTTACTTGAATAGATGATTTGCTGTATCCATATGTATTACCAGCCACCGTCTATCGATCTTGAACTACGCATGGACATAGCGTTGTCAGAACTACTTTCATATATTTTCTTCCGATCATGATTATTTGTCGAAGCCATGTGACATTTCTCTTCTGTTCACCTCTGTCGCCGACTTGAGCAACTTGTTTTCATTCTTATTTGAAGGCAAAACGTGTTTCACTATTGCAGTCCATTCACTGAAGCATGCGTAAAATAACAAAATCTCCTCGGAAATGGAAAGTCCGCAAGATCAGAGCTGGTTAGACTTCCGAGCAACCAAGTGATATTCTTCCATCCATTTTCATACAATGTAACATGACATATTGCATGCATAATAGTACGCCATTTACGACACCATGATATAGTGGTCACCGTAAATATGAACATCGAATTATTATATTAGGCTATAATAAATGTACGGATCAAAGCATTGTACATCGTCATAATTATAGTCCGTCAACCTAACTTTTGGAACACGGTTTTCTGCAAGTTACGTTTAAACAACAAAAGGTATCCAACTTTTATTCACTCAAATAATAATGATATCTGACGAGCTATTTGGGTGTTGAATTTCTAAACTTTATGTCAACTATTATTTATTTTACTTAAGAAACTATTATATAAAGTTTCTGACAATAGCAACATTTTCACAAGGGAGTACTGGCAAGTACTGGAATAGCTATCAACAATGTCGCAATGTGTGTGGCACGTGCAAGTTGGGTAAATAGGTTGTCAGATATCATTATTATCTGAGCGAATAAAAGTTGGATATCTTTTGTTGTTTAAACGTAACTTGCAAAAAAACCGTGTTCTAAAATTTAGGTTGACGGACTATAGGACCGACCATTAATAATTAGCGTGTTTGTACATAGCTATGTTCCGTGCAACATGTGTATGCTTAACTCGCTGCAACAGACACAGATATATAAAAAATATACAAAGCTACTGCCATCGGTTTGTAGGTGGTAATATTTTCTAATCAGACATATCTTTACCTATCTCTTAAAATTGTCCTTGGAAGGAGGCAGAGTGAGTGAGTTTGGTTTTACGCCGCTTTTAGCAATATTCCAGCAACATTACGGCGAGCGAGACCAGAAATGGGCTTCACACATTGTACCCATGTGGGGAATCGAACTCGGGGCTTCGGCGTGATGAGCGAACGCTTTAACCACTAGGCTACCCCCACCGCCCCTGAAGCAGGCAGACAAAGGATGCGTGAGAAATGATTCCAACGAAGCACACCTACTTAGCTCAAGAATCCTTGACCAAACGATTTCAGCTAACGTCATGGGACAATAAGAAGATATTCGTCAACAGATCTTTTGTTCTAATGATCAGTCCTAAAAAAAATTAAAAAGTCGAGATTTCAAAGGTTCAAAATCTCTCATCGCACTGGGGCTCAATTTCAGTTTACATGTACATGTAGTTGATTGTTCTTATCCAAAATTGTAATAAACAACTTTTCGTTACGGCTGATCGAAGGACTCAAGATAGTAAGTGTTCTGTCAGTAACGTATACGTGTGTCCTTGAACGGTCTGGTGCCAACAAAAGTAAATCAAAACGTACGACAGTGTACAAAAATAGGCACCCGCTGCAGAGTTGTTATGTTTGAGTAATGATATGAATTCGCTTTGTTCCTTTGCAGGCCATATGAGTTGCAATGTTCTGAACACAAGTTTGGATACCAGGGAATATACCTGCCTCATACCTATTGTCTCATCATCGATGCCTGTATTATTAATCCCTGGCTTCTATTTGTCCATTCCACTTATCAATTAACGCTAATTATCTACTGGCTTCCATTGTTGTTATTTTATCACTGTTGTTGTTTCACATGTCGGTTACTTACATAGCTATCAATCCTAGTTGTTTCATTCACCTGATGAAGGAGTAAACATATACTCCGACACGTGGTGTTCCTCAAAATAAAGACTGACTGACTGACTGAGTTTGGTTTTACGCCGCTTTTAGCAATATTCCAGCAACATCACGGCGGGGGACACCAGAAATGGGCTTCACACATTGTACCCATGTGGGGATTCGAACCCGGGTCTTCAGCGTGACGAGCCAACGCTTTAACCACTAGGCTACCCCACTGCTCCCCCTCAAAATAAAGAAGTTGACATCCATAAATTCTCGCTTGTATGTGCTTCGCTTCTAAATACCGTCAAGCTTCTAATAGTCAAGCTATATCTGTCTAGTATCTTAGCTTCATCTTATGTCAGAGAGATGCGAATGTTGCTGGTGTTCCTAAACTGGAGGTAACCTGCCGCACGGTATAATTAACACGGCTGTTATAAGTCCTAGGTTCTTCATACTATCCAAAAAAATGATATTCTGGGAAAAGGTCTTTAGTTAAACATTCCCCGAGATAGACGAAAACATATCTTTCGGTGTCAGGAAAAGATTTGTGTTGCTGGTAGAAACGCAGATCCTAGATTCCCCGTCTCTAACATTGGCAGCAAGATCCATAATCATTTATTGGAGAGACGTAGTGTGTACATTGGTCAGCTCCCAACAGTCCAATGCTTGTTTGTCATACAGCCAAAACACATACAGTTTGATGGGAAGGGAGATGGTGAATTAAACTTGCACGTCGCTGCAAACATGGAAACGTCCTGAGGGAGCTGCATCTTCAATATTTGATGTGGTTTTGAAGACTCCTTTGTTGTCTGTGGCTCTAGGCTAGATCTATATGACTATCCATGACCAACGTTCTGCGGCTTAAAACAAAGATCCGTAAAGGTAAATACAATGCTAAAGGGGTTGAATTAAATTTTTTGATTTATGTAATTTTAATTCTTGATGTTTGTAATGTAGATACATATTACACCCACACACAGAGAGAGAGAGAGAGAGAGAGAGAGAGAGAGAGAGAGAGAGAGAGAGAGAGAGAGAGAGAGAGAGAGAGAGAGAGAGAGAGAGAGAGATGTGCATGTATATGTGTATAGATGGATGGATGGGTGAAGAGAGAGCGAATGGCGCATCTTCACGAATGTGCTCCATCTTTCAATGATAGCCACAATGGTATCATATACCATATATATATACAGACTATATAAATGACTCACATACATATTGTTCCCTTAAAAAGATAAAAATCCTTTCGAGTATACCGCTGAATTGTAAGTCATTTCATCTTTTTTTAAAATTCAGTTCAGCATTAAATTCATAAAAATACTTTCATGAATGTAATCACAAAAGTAGTTGCGTTACCACCATCCTTGATAACGGATGCGTGAAGGCGGGTACCAAGTGGATCTTTACGAGACGTTCGTGACCATAAGTCGTGATTGAGCAGCGGCACGAGTGTGTGTTGTGACAGACGAGGACTCCCGAGACAGTCTAGGACATGGCAGTCATTGATTGGGATTGAAGGGTCCTGTTTCTTATTACTTGTGGCATGACGACAAAACCCCGGTAGGCTTTTTTTCCAGCACGTCACGGAAAGGTTTTCCTGATTTCCCCGGGACTCTTGTTACCATTCTTGGAATAAATTCTCGTCAATTTGAACGATTTGCGTGGAATGGAATGTGAGGTAAATTGCAATGTGTTTCTGAGCCACAGTACCAGATCTAGAGGTACAGAAGCTCACCTGCTTTATGAGATGAATGTGAAGAATTAGCACAACCTATGGAAT